ACAGTTGTCAGTTGAAACATCTACATTGCTGTACCTTAACATGTGCTTGATACGACTGTATATGTACCAGTACATTATGGGCTGGCATCTGATTCAGTACTTCGGAACTCAATACTAGATACTGATGCGGTACCTAAACTAATGGCTTTTGAGGTGATATCATTAATACAAGTGTTATAATTTACCCAGCTCATTCTGAATTTCCAATTTTTTGCGGCACCAAAAAATTGCATTGTCCTCGTGTGTATCTTCAATTTAAGTGCATAAATTTAAGGTAACATAAATTCCATTACTGTCATTACAAATCGTTACTGTCACTAAATGTTATTAAAGAAGTCTTAGATATCTGGTCTTGAATTCTGATTGCCACAACATGCTTTGGTACAAATTTGACCTATGTAACCATCGTTTCCTGACAGACCCTAGAAAAAACTGCCGACCCTAGCCTTTTTTGGGGGTGGATTTTTCTACATACCTGCCCTGGTGCAAATAACAAATTTGAAAATTACATGTACCAGACAAATTTCTTTGAGAAGTATGGATCATACTAAAAATGGTTCCGAAACCATTGCCATTATTTCTTTTATTCTTCAGAGGTAGTAACAGTCAATGCAGCAAACAAAAACCACATACACTTACAGTACACGCAAGTTACTCTGATGTCCCGATTAAACGTACCAGTACGTTTATTTTTTTCGGCCCGAACGTCCACCCGGTACACTCTTATTAGGGACGGTACGTTTATTAATTTTTGGGAAAAAAATTGTCAATACGTAGTCCGCACCATCAGCAAGTGGCCGGCGGCCGCAAAATTCGGCAACACGTCACAGATAAATATTTGGTCCATGATAGCGGCATTTCCTATGAATATAATGTATATTATTTATTTGTCGCCTGCTGTCCATTTTTAAGTCCCAAAACGTCTGAAAAAGCAAAAATTTGCCCACAAAACCAAAGGGGAAGGCGAGTAGCTAATCGACGTATTTAGCACATGGCGGCCGCAAGCCCTTGTCAAAATCGGCAACGCGGTAGAAAAATGCCTGGTCCATTTTAGCGATATTTACCATGAAAAAAACGTATGTGGTTTATTTTCCCTCTGGTGTTAGTTTTTAGGTCCCGAAACCCCTAAAAAAGTAGAAATTTGCCCACAAGACGGACGGCCGACGTGGGGAGGGCGCCTAGCGCCTGAGCAGCATGACCCGTAAAAAGTCAAAGGTCATAGGGCACCCATATTGCGCAATCACCGTAAAAGCGCCGATTTAGCTAATTTTAGGGCGTTTAAAATTGATACAATCACATTATCGATTTTTAAAAAAACAATGAGATGAAAACCAATCAAAATTTTATGCTGAATAATATTTTTTTCTGCAAAAATTTTTTTTCTTCTTCAGAACTTTTTCTTCTTCAGAATCCAGATTTTGACCAGACTAGTCAATGTACCATACCAAATAATTATTATGTTGAAATGGATTTTTGTTGTACATATACTCATTAAATCCCTATATTTGTACTTAATTGGGCTTGATTTTCTATCTCTTAAGTTAGTCAGATTTTCAACTCAAGTTGCAGGAGAAGGCTTAGCAAAGTGCATTTCAGAAGTGTAAAATGCAATAGCTTCTCCTACGGATTTTGTATTTCCCCAAAACAAGTACAATATATATATACTCATTAATTAAAGTGATATATACTCACTAATTAAATGTAACAGTGAAAGATTTGCCCATATATTGGTATTGAAATAAAGAGCACATTTTAGTATCATTGACACACAATTCACCTGTCAATTTGGTCATTTTCCGGGGGGTACGTTTATTCCGGAGGGTATGTTTATTAGACTTTGAAGATTTGTCCGGGGGGTATGTTTATTCCGGGGGGTATGTTTATTAGGGACATGAGAGTAGGTACAGTAACTGTTAGACATCAGAAATACCTGCACAGCACCAATTTTATCTGCACTAACCTGCATATGCACCCAGTATTTACACCTACTTAATAATAAATGGACTACATGACACCAACAACATTACCAACTTCATCGACAAACTTGTAAGCAATCTGTTCATAATTCAATTATGGACTCACCAGTCCTGTTCAAGCAGCCCTGTCCGCCGGATGAAGAACGGGTTGCGGTAGCTCTGCGTACTGACCTCCCAGTCCGCCACCGCAATGGAGAAGCCGGGGAACTCGGTGGCGTCGGTGCGGATGGGCGCGGGGAGCGGCGACACTCCCGTGATGGACTGGAGAACCGGCTGGAAGTCTGTACGCAGGGTGGGGGACTCGAGGGTGGACCTGAGGGGGAGGGAAAAAAGGGTTAACTTTGCTGCCATCCAAGCATAATCGTGTAAAAAGGGTAACGTTATTTGCTGTCATCAAGGCATGATCATGTAAAAAAGGGTTAAATTTGATCTCATCAAAGCATGATCATGTAAAAAAAGGGTTAAATTTGATCTCATCAAAGCATGATCATGTAAAAAAGGGTTAAATTTACTCTCATCAAAGCATGATCACATAAAGATGGTTAAATTACACTAACTTACACTATAGTTATAGAAGTCAAGACAGCTCACCTTGGTACAACTTATGATGCTTGTGGAGGTTTCTTCCCTACTGAAGCTGTCACTCTCCAACTTGGCCTGGAAATGAAAAATTAAGAACGTTACTAAAATAATTACTGGGTATCAAGGTTCACTATAATATTAGTAACAACATTACTTCCTGCAAACATTTGGGTACTCCTTGTTCTGCCTTCTTCAGGGCAATACTGACTGCACTGGGCAATAGAACTAATTTTTATTTACCCTAAAGGTAGTAACTTGAAAGAACCATTCCCATACCCAGAACTTGGTCGAGCAGGCCTGCCTGCCGGATGAAGAACGGGTTGCGGTAGCTCTGCGTACTGACCTCCCAGTCCGCCACCGCAATGGAGAAGCCGGGGAACTCGGTGGCGTCGGTGCGGATGGGCGCGGGAAGCGGCGACACTCCCGTGATGGACTGGAGAACCAGCTGGAAGTCTGTACGCAGGGTGGGGGACGCGAGGGTGGACCTGAGGGGGAGGGAAAAAAGGGTTAACTTTGCTGCCATCCAAGCATAATCGTGTAAAAAGGGTTATTTGCTGTCATCAAGGCATGATCATGTAAAAAAGGGTTAAATTTGCTGCCATCCAAGCATGATCATGTAAGAATGGTTAAATTACACTAACTTACACTATAGTTATAGAAGTCAAGACAGCTCACCTTGGTACAACTTATGATGCTTGTGGAGGTTTCTTCCCTACTGAAGCTGTCACTCTCCAACTTGGCCTGGAAATGAAAAATTAAGAATGTTACTAAAATAATTACTGGGTATCAAGGTTCACTATAATATTAGTAACAACATTACTTCCTGGAAACATTTGGGTACTCCTTGTTCTGCCTTCTTCAGGGCAATACTGACTGCACTGGGCAATAGAACTAATCTTTATTTTCCCTAAAGGTAGTAACTTGAGAGAACCATTCCCATACCCAGAACTTGGTCGAGCAGGCCTGCCTGCCGGATGAAGAACGGGTTGCGGTAGCTCTGCGTCCTGACCTCCCAGTCCGCCACCGCGATGGAGAAGCCGGGGAACTCGTTGGCGTCGGTGCGGATGGGCGCAGGGAGCGGCGACTCTCCCGTGATGGACTGGAGAACCTGCTGGAAGTCTGTACGCAGGGTGGGGGACGCTGGGGTGGACCTGAGGGGGAGGGAAAAAAGGGTTAAATTTGCTGCCATCCAAGCATAATCGTGTAAAAAAGGGTTATTTGCTGTCATCACAGCATAATCATGTAAAAAAGGGTTAAATTTGATCTTATCAAAGCATATTCATGTAAAAAAGGGTTAAATTTGCTGCCATCAAAGCATGATCATGTAAAAAGGGGTTAAAGTTGATCTCATCAAAGCATGACCATGTAAAAAAGGGTTAAATTTGATATCAAAGCATCATCATGTAAAAAAAGCATTAAATTTGATCTGAGCAAACTTAAGCATAATCATGTAAAAAAGGGTTCAATTCGATCTTATCAAAGCATGAATTGATCATGTAAAAAAGGGTTAAATTTGCTTTCATGAAAGCATGATCATGTAAAAAGAAAGGTTAAATTTGCTGCCATGAAAGCATAATCATGAAAAAAAGGGTTAAATTTATTCTCATCAAATGCATGATCATGTAAAAAATGGTTAAATCACCCTTATACTACTAACTGTTATAGAAGTCAAGACACTCACCTTGGTACAACTAATGATGCTTGTGGAGGTCTATTCCCTACTGAAGCTAGTATTCTGTCATTCTCCAACTTGGCCTGGAAATGAAAAATTAAGAACGTTACTAAAACAACAAGAATTCGGAGACCTCATACCTCCATAAAATATATGACTCTTTGTAAATGTTTTTTGGTCTCATAGATTATGGAAATACGGTCATAATTAGCATAATCTAGTTTAATTTATGGTTTTCTATTAGTAAATTCAAATCACTATTTTTTGTGTAAAATTCCTCTTCTTTGTCACTTTTTTTCAACATTAATTATGCAAATGACCTATACATTAACATAATATATGCATAGTTATGTTGACCTTTACATGTGTAAGTAACTTACACATGTCACAAGGTATAAAATTCCCATCATTCACCAATAAGGAATCACAGAATTTTCACATTAATTATACAAATTAGGTCATCATTTGCATAATTGATATCTTTTGATGTTCCATCTGCCACAGATTATATACATAACATATATGAAAGAACTATTATATAAAACACTAATTATAGAATTTCCTCATTAATGATGCAAATTAAGCTCCATTTGCATAATTTGCATGTCATTATGTACAACTCCCTTTTAGCTACCTACACACCAAAAATGATGAAAATACATTGTTCCTATCTGGACTTATTGGCTTTTAAAGATTTGGCCCGAAAGTCCCTGCAGTTCCAGAACAGGCTGCTAGGGGAACAAAACCTACAACACTTATTCCTGACAGGAAGAGCTATCTGTCACCAAAAAGTCAAGACCATAGCATGTTCAGGACAAAAGATTAAAAAAACCGGAACTTCTGCTGCAGTACCAAGGTCGGCCACCAGGTGGCCCATATCTGACCTTGACCTTTGCCTTCCTAAGACCTACTGTGAGCGGGGCCTGATGGTGTATTTAAACCCCGGGTTCTTTTAGGATGTTGCCTAGGGAGACTCTACGAAGAAGTAACGGACACAGGAGACACAGAGCTTTGCCGTACAATCATCGCCGGGGACTGGGACTCTCAATTGTCGACCCTCGCCTCTCAGTATCCGTCGAACAACTGTCTGTCCTTTCCACAGTCCCACGGCTTTACCTTTATTCATTTCTTCCAGACACAGGTAGCACCTAAGTGAAAAGCTAATGTCTGCCAGAGTCTAGACAGTCACACCAAGATATCGTCTACTATCCTACTGTCATATAATCATTTGTTTTGATATCCCGCACTTCAAAGACAACAATTCTTTTGTAGTACAAGTTCGCACGTCTATGATAAAGAGTTCTTGATTACACATATATGAATATGCGTAAGGGTTGTCATACTAATTACAGAGCGTAACGGGCGATAAAAAGCAGGACAAGGTGAAACACATTGCAAGAATGGAAATACAAATTACAGATAAAATACGACATTTTCCCATTCCTACATCCTCCCCTTGTTTAATAATGAGCCGTCCTCGGCGAAGGCGAATACGTACGGATTTTCAACTTTTCCTTTCTACCTACCATACTAACTACTACTATATATAAACGAGAGAAAAAAAATATATATAATGATGGGTCCTTACAACCGGACATCTGTATAAACCGGCGTATAGTGCAGACTACAGAGTTCACATAGCAATAGAGTTCGCAGTTTAACGTCGCTTCACGTCGACGTTCTCCGTCGTCACTTGATCGTCGCAGCTCTCTTCTCCTCTCTAGAGATCGTCTGTCGTCCCTCAGCTTCGTCTCTCATGGCGCGTCGAGGCTGCTTACCAGGTGGTGGTTCCAGCTGTGCTCCTCCCCTCCTCCGTGTCGCTGCAAGGGGCACGAACGTCCGGCCGCAGTCGCCCCTCAGTTGCGGTAGCCCTCACCGGTCCTTAGTCGAAGGTTGTCCGGCAAAGATGGCGTCGCTTCAGGGGTCCCCGTTAGGGTGGTGACTCGGACGGGCCGTTCTTCCGGGATCGGATGGCGCGGCGGGAAGTGCCCTCTCCATCGCCAAGCTTCGATGACCCACGTGGACCTGTGCAGGAATTGGGGAAGAGAACACACAAACACACACACCAAGCCTGACCGCCATAACTTATAAATAACTATAACTTCAACGTATGGGAGAACAACCTCCCACAGAACTCTGACTCACACCCTATTCTCCAACAAGCGACATTAATTCCGACGACCCAGGGGGTCACGAACTCTAACTGACCAGAACACCTTGCCTCGACCCTACGAGCACAATGCCATAAAATACAGTTAACTAAAGGTACACTAAATATATACATGTATAATGATTGAGAATGTCAATTTGGGAAAGTGCAACCACCTTATCTAGCTAAAAGTGAGATGAGTTCCCGTCAGGCCGAGGCCCGACCCCCGAGGTCTGGGTTTCCAAGGAAAACACGACACTTAGTATAACTACCCCCGACTAACTACTAACCCCAAGATGGCTGCACATTTCAATAGCCGAAAATACATTATTCATTACTCCTTCCCTATTGAAGTTGAAAGACTCTTGAAAAACCCACTGGCGCGTTGCGGCACCGACTTAAGCCATGCCTTCGGTTTTTCCACATTTGCCTGTCTGAAGACTTCAGCGTAACGGATAGGAGGTACTCCTCTGTTCTCCCTAACCGGATACCTAGGGTCGTCCGGACCGTCATCGCCCTCTGGAGGCGCTACAGGCGTTTGTACAACAACAATGGGTGGGTCGTCCTCACGCCCTTCACTATCATTATCACTTTCACTTTCTTCTGGCTCACGCCCCTCTGCGCGCCCGTCCCTTTGTTCGGCACGTGGCCGCCTTGCGTTGCCAGGGCGAGGCGCGAACATACACGGAGTTAACATATCCCTGTGTAGGGTTCTACTGGGACCACCTCCCCTCTCCGGAGTCACAACATAAACCGGGATCTCTGCGTTCGGTTGTCTGTCTATCACGTGGGGTATTTGCTCCCACTGATCTTTCAACTTACTTGGACCCCTTATTCTCTTATTACGGATTAAGACCCGTTCCCCTGGTAACAGAGGAGCAGTCCGCGCTGTACGATCGTACAAACGCTTCTGACCTGCCTTGGCCGACTCAGAGTTCTTAGTTGCTATCTCATAGGCATACTTGTACCGTTTGTGGTGATTTTCTACCCACTCATCCGGTGATACATTTTCACCTGAGTTTTCTTCTCCCGGAGTTATACCTAGGGTGAGATCAAGTGGTAACCTAGCCTGCCTGCCAAACATCAGGAAATAGGGGGAATACCCGGTGGTGGAGTGCTGGGTATTGTTGTAGCCATGGACAAGCTCTGGTAGATATTCTGGCCAGCGACGCTTTTGATCTTTTGTCATGGTGCCTAGCATATCTAGTAGCGTCCGATTGAACCTTTCACACTGTCCGTTCCCAGCCGGATGATACGGAGTGGTACGGCTTTTTGCACCTCCATACAGCCTACAAAGACCCTGAATTGTCGCCGATAGAAAGTTCGCACCCTGGTCTGAATGAAGCCTTTGCGGGAACCCATATGGCATAATGAATTTTGACCACAACGCCTTGGCCGTGGTTTCGGCCGTCTGGTCCCTAGTTGGAACTGAAACAGTAAACTTAGTGAAATGGTCTGTTATAACTAAGATATACTGATGGCCGCTAGAGGCTTTATCAACTTTCAGGTAATCCATAGCGACTAGCTCCAGGGGTGCTTTCGTCGAGATGCTGACAAGAGGACTCTTGTTGTTAGGTGGGGGTGTCTTACGCAAACAGCACCTTTCACACGACTGTACCCAGACTCTAACGTCTCCCTCCATATTCGGCCAGTAAACCCGGTTTCGCAACAACTCTAAAATACGGGGAACTCCTAAATGTCCTGACCGACTGTGTACTTGGGTGAAAACATCCTTTCTAAGGGCAGCTGGGAGGACTGCCTGTTTCACCGCATGATCCGCTTTCCTACTGAACGAACGCCTGTACAAGATACCATTTCTGAGCTCTAGTCTTTCCCATTGTCCTAGGATTCTGTTCACCTCTCTATGCTCACCTTCACGCTCCCTCCTATCAGGTTTTCTACCTCGGCCCACGAAATGAATCACTCTGTCGAGTATAGGGTCGTCTCTCTGCTGTTGGGCCAAATCTGCCTGAGAACAACCTGGGAGAGTTTGCATAGGCTCAAAGGGACTTGCACCTGCAATCTCGGCTAACGTAACAGACAAGGGCTCGCTAGGAGGGGCAACATAGTTTTCACAGCAGATCTTTGCTACCTCAGCTGTCACAACTTCTACTTCATCATCAGAGTTACCCTTATATGCCGGTAAGCGGGACAGAACGTCGGCATTGACGTTGGACTTCCCCGGCCTATATTTCACATCGAAGTCAAAGTTTGCTAAACTAGCTGCCCAACGTTGTTCAACTGCGCCTAACTGGGCTGTGCCAAGGTGTGCAAGCGGGTTGTTGTCGGTGAAGACCGTACACTTGGCTCCGTACAGGTAGTCTTTAAACTTATCCGTTACGGCCCACTTCAAACCCAATAGCTCCAGTTTGAATGAACTGTAGTTGTTCATGTTCCTTTCAGCTGGCCGTAACCCCCTACTAGCATAAGCTATAACTTTCTCTACCCCCTTCTGTTCCTGGGATAGAACTGCTCCCAAGCCGTCATGGCTGGCGTCAATATATAGTGTGAAGGGAAGCTGAAAGTCGGGGTACGCCAGGATATCGGCACTCATCAAACACTTCTTTAGGGTGTCAAAAGCTTTTTGACACTCAGGGGACCAAGAGAACGGAGGTGCCGATTGTCTCCGACCTTTCCCTTTAACAGCTTGCCCTACTGTTAGTTTCTGTAAAGGATGAGCTATTTTGGCAAAGTCTTTTACGAACCTCCTGTAGTAGGAGCAAAAACCCAGGAAAGACTTAACTTGTTTCACAGTTTTAGGTTCTGGCCAGTCCCTTAATACGGCACACTTCTCTGGGTCCGTAGCTACCCCTTTCTCTGACACCACGTGCCCTAGGTATTTGACACGTCTCTTGAAGAGGTGACACTTATCAGGGCGGAGCTTCAGGCCGTGTGCTCGCAGCCGAGTGAACACAAGGTCTAATCGTGCGAGGTGGTCATCAAAGTCAGAGGAGAAGACGATTATATCATCTAGATATATTAGAAGTGTCTCTAGATTCTGGTCTCCCAAACAATGTTGCATCAAACGTTGGAAGCTAGCCGGAGCTCCAGACAAGCCAAACGGAAGTCGATTGAATTCAAATAACCCAAACTGAGTAGAGAACGCAGTCTTTTCCTTATCTTCTTCATCTACTGCAACTTGCCAATAGCCACTAGCCAAGTCAAGTGTGGAGAAAATGGCCGCCCCCTGCAGAGCCGACAGTGACTCCTCAATCCGGGGCAGAGGAAACGCGTCGTGGTGGGTCTTGGCATTCACACGACGAAAATCAACACAGAATCTCAAGTCCCCGTCTTTCTTCCTTACCAGAACTACGGGAGAAGCCCAAGGGCTACAACTTTCTCTGATCACATCTTGGTCTAGCATGTCCTGCACATGCTGCTTCACCTCTTTATAAAGATTTGGGGGAATGCTTCGATATGGCTGCCGAATGGGCGGGGTATCACCTGTCGGTATTCTATGTTTGATTGTCTCTGTGTACCCAAAGTCATGTTTGTGCGACGAGAAAACACTAGCATGTTTTTGTAGCAAGGCTTCAAGTTTGGCTTCTTGCTCAGGCGTCAGTTCGGCGCCGTCCAAATCAACTTTCGAATACACATCAGGGTTAGGGCCGCTGTCGGGTTTAGACCTAGTAGGGGGTGGGGAGGATAACGGGGTCTGTTCTTCTGAGTTGACGCTACATTGTATGAAATTCACATGTACCTCTTGCTCCCCCGTAGCTTCTAACTCGACAGTCCCTTGGCTTTGCAATTCTGCTAGATAAAGTATGCCCAGCCGGGCTCTCTGACTAATATGCACGTCCTGCTTGCCTACGTTGGCGAGACGGATCGGGACTCGCCCTCCCCGTACCTCAGCGTAAGCTCTAGCCACTAAGATCGGGGCCGGCAGACAACCTGCGTCCGGCGGTTCCACGAGAACTTGGTACGGCCTATTGTCAGGGCCCGGGCGGGCGCGACCGTACACAATCATCTCGTGGCCCGCCGGAACAATGATCTGCCGACGACCCGACGCTCTGGCATATCCTACTCTACCGTCTTCCCTTGCAAAATTAGCCTGTCTACGTGCTGCCCGGATGGCTTTCTGCCAGACTTTACTATTACCTGATTGTGTGTTCCCCCCCTGTTCATTGTCCTCATTCTGAAATTCACCGATCACATTCATCCCCAGAATCCCTGGAGCGGTTCTACGACACCCATCCTCAACAATAATGACGCCGCGTTTCGGCAGTGTCTTACCCCTAAACAGCACGTCGAGTTCACAATATCCTACAAACTTAATGGGTAAACCGTTTGCTCCTGTCAACTTCAGCCAACTTGACGCATCCTTTATCCGTTCCCCTGAATCTCCAAAATGCGACTTAAAGAAACTGTATGTAATGGTTGTGACTTGGGATCCGGTATCCAGTAAACATGGCACGGTCACCCCCTCAAAATCTACATCTACCACGTCACAGCTGCCTATCGTCCGAGACTTAACTGATTCTAAGGTCGGACTACTACAAGTATCACTATCTCTAACTACACTCGATCTCTGGGACTCACATCTAGCAACCGATTCCTCCCGCGAACCTGGTCCCTCGGCCGCGGGCCTAACTAGTTTGGGGACTGAGTGTTAGTCTGAGGGCCGCGGTTGTTATTCTGAGGCTTATTACGGGGGTTGCTATACCGGTTAGATCCCTGGCCGCCCCAAGGGCAGTCCCGCTGGATGTGCGCTGTGTCCCCGCACACGTAACACCTCCTAACGTTGGGGCAATCACGCTGGATGTGCCCGGGTTCCTGGCAAGAGTAACAGATTTGGCGGCCCTGATTGTCCCACCCACGTGCACCCTGTCGGAAGCCGTTAGGTTGGGCCCTGGGTGGCCCCTGCCTACTACTATTACTAGGAGATAGTTTCATCTGCTGTAACTCATTACGAAGAGACTCGATAGTTTTCCCTGTCTCCTCCCTAAGCTTGGCGATCTCGGAGAGAATCGCCGACTGTGAATCCCCAGTGTCTTGCATAACTACATTCTGCTGAGCCCCTGTCCCCTGGTGACTCCACTCCCCACTCAAATGCAGTGCCTCCTCCCTTACTTGTTGGAACGTGCGAGGAGTAGTTGGGGGAGCAGCTCTTAAGTATTGGCGTAGTTGCCGTTCTAGGTCCCTATCTTTGAGTCCGTCTAAGAACCTGTCCCTTAGCATGGCGTCCTCGCCATCTAGCACAGCCCCCCTCCTTCTCTCGGCCCGTTTTAATATTTCCTGAAGGCCAAGGGCATACATACTTAGCGTCTCATCCCTGCCCTGGTCCCGGGCATAGAATTTGCCCATGATCACGGATACGGGAGCTGTGTCCCCGAATGCAGACTTCAGGGCCGACTGTACCTTGCCTATGTCTTTGCGGTCATCCCCTGACAATACAGCGACTACCCGTTTGGCCTGGCCCTCTAAATTCCTATACAACATCCCTGCTTTCTGTGCTTCTGGAGTGCTATAGAGGGTGAATGCACCCTCCATCTCATCTAGCCATTCTTCTACAGTTTGTTCTGGCGGCGCCCCCGAAAACTTGGGCCACTTCCTATCGTACGGTACGTACATGACCGTGGGGGCCTGTGCCCCCTCCTGCGCTTCTGCCATAATCTGTTGTTATATCAAGACGCTATGTAAAATATAGAACCTCACAACTTCTAGACCCAGATAACCTGAACAGGATCTAAACTCACCAACTTTAACCCTATACGGACTCACAAGCAACCTTCAATCCTCACTCAAAATCCTAACGCAAACCTCACTAACAAAGTTAACAAATGACATTTATCCACATTCCACACGGTCAATCTAACGCAACGTAAACTTCACGAAGTCAACAGTACTGAGCAGGAAATCAACATGGTCAAACTAAGGCGGTCAAGCTACGGTGTACGTGCGTGTGTCCCCAACCCTTTTCCCACAACAGATCCACATACCTTGAGATGTCTTCGGCTCGGCTAGGACTGGTCCTCGGTCGGTTTCACGGGCTCGTCCTTCGGCGTCCCTCAACACTAGCAGTCCTCGGTCCACATGTACAGCTCTCTCCCGGTCCGCACCCTCCGCTGGTCTCTCCCGATGGTGATTTCAGCAACATCCCATCCTCGTCGCCAAATGTGAGCGGGGCCTGATGGTGTATTTAAACCCCGGGTTCTTTTAGGATGTTGCCTAGAGAGGCTCTACGAAGAAGTAACGGACACAGGAGACACAGAGCTTTGCCGTACAATCATCGCCGGGGACTGAGACTCTCAACTGCCGACCCTCGCCTCTCACCAACTGTCGACAACTGTCTGTCCTTTCCACAGTCCCACGGCTTTACCTTTATTCATTTCTTCCAGACACAGGTAGCACCTAAGTGAAAAGTTACTGTCTGCCAGAGTCTAGACAGACACACCAAGAGATCGTCTACTATCCTACTGTCATATAATCATTTGTTTTGATATTCCGCACTTCAAAGACAACAATCCTTTTGTAGTACAAGTTCGCACGTCTATGATAAAGAGTTCTTGATTACACATATATGAATATTCGTAAGGGTTGTCATACTAATTACAGAGCGGAACGGGCGATAAAAAGCCGAACAAGGTGAAACACATTGCAAGAATGGAAATACAAATTACAGATAAAATACGACATTTTCCCATTCCTACACTACCAACCTACCAAATATCATCACAATCCATAAAGGCGTTCTGAAGTTATGCTGACTACAAATGTGCGGAAACACACACACACACACACACATACACACGTATGCACAGACAAGCCAAAAACAATGCCTCCATTTTTCATGGAGATAATTACTGGGTATCAAGATTCACTATAATATTAGTAACAACATTACTTCCTGCAAACATTTGGGTACTCCTTGTTCTGCCTTCTTCAGGGCAATACTGACTGCACTGGGCAATAGAACTAATCAGTATTTACCCTAAAGGTTACTTGAGAGAACCATTCCCATACCCAGAACTTGGTCGAGCAGGCCTGCCTGCCGGATGTCGAACGGGTTGCGGTAGCTCTGCGTCCTGACCTCCCAGTCCGCCACCGCGATGGAGAAGCCGGGGAACTCGGTGGCGTTGGTGCGGATGGGCGCGGGGAGCGGCGACACTCCCGCGATGGACTGAAGAACCGGCTGGAGGTCTGTACGCAGGGTGGGGGACGCTAGGGTGGACCTGAGGGGGAGGGAAAAAAGGGTTAAATTTGCTACGAGTGGGGCAGGGAAAGATTACAGGAGGGCTACGAGTGGGGGGGGGCAGTTTACACAACGTTAAGACTTTCTCTTTAATACATAATTTGACTGACGAAAGACTAAATAAGGTACATACATTGTTGGAAACCATACTTACCCACACTACACGTGTCCACTAGCTCAGGGACATGTACTGACACGTTCAGGCCTGGACACGTACGCGCCTTACTTTGAACATTGTACCCACAGTTCCTTGAGCTGCATAAATTTCATGGCCGAATTACCCCCGTAACAGTACTTCGGGCACGAAGTAGTGCTGCAGAAATGCCGTCAGCTACAGAGATTCTTCTGTGTACATCAGCGATGGAAGCTGTAGTAAATTGTAGATGCTTCGGGATAGAGGATGTAAAAGCTGAATCAGTAGCTATAGTATCGCATTTGTTCGGTTGGCGTTAAACTTGGCGCCTGGATCCTGGATACAGACACCGACTTATTATTTCACTCCACGGAGTGAAATACTGTTTTTCAACTCCCTCATTTTTGGGCCAAATATCATAAAATTTGGCATGAGGTAGAGTGGGCAAATACCCCCGGGTGTTTTTTTTTTTCAATTTTTGTGATACATGCTTTTAGGGTGGTTTTATTTGAGCTTTTTCATTGTGTTATAGAAAATGTACTATTAATAGCAATGTGTCACTATATTTCGGCATGAGTCATCAGAATGGTATGTAGAGCAAGCAACCAATAGGCATGCAGTATTCCTCTATTCCTCTTCCTGATTGGCTGATCGATTTGATTCGATTAACTCAATTAACACCTGTTCAAAGCCATTCCACATTGACAGTATGAACTCAGGTGTTTGGTAGGTACAGCACAGCCACGAAATACGCATCAATTTTCGAGGGACGTTCTGCGGGAGAGTGCAGGACGTTCTGGGGAAGAGTGCTGGACGTCCTGCGGGAGAATGCGCAGAACTTTCGCAGAACTGGTAATGGGAAACGCCACTGCGAAACTTCTGCGTATTTTAAAGAAATCTTTCGCGAGATTTCGGTCGTTAATGAGCAGCCTTTGTATTTCGAGATTTACATGACACTTATTCCACCTCATTTTTCACGTATTTGTTGACAATTTGTGGACAATACATGGGATTATCAGCGCGGCGGGTCAACGCGGTTTCGGCCCTGGACGATTGATTTTTACTATTTGATACTTTGATATTTGATACCGATTCGTGTGATTCCAATAAACATTTCACCTAACTACGTACGTACTAGTTGGAAGAATGATAGGTGCATGGATGCCTGTATATGATTTTACAAACACTGAAAATCTGACGCTAAAACTGCCGGACAGTTTGCTCTTCTCTGTTGGAACAACGCAAGCGGTAGGTCAATGACCTGCGCCCCGCGAGTGAACAAAAAGTTACAAACTTAAGGCGGTGAAACAGGTAGTAACTAAATCGCACATGCCCGTAGCCAGGGGGGGGGGGGTTCAGGGGGGTTCAGAAGAACCCCCCACAAGGCTCAAAGGTACACTTTGTGGTCCACTTTTTATGTAAAGGTCCACTTTTTGATCCACTTTTTATGTAATTTAGGCCACACCAATTTAATTTGTTGGTTCTCGGATTTTTTTCAGAAAAAATATGAAGCGACAGGGCGAAAAAAATAAAAATAAAAACAGGTCTAGGCATCCTATCATAGCCCCAAATGCTTCGATAGGAGTGTAACAATAACCTTTTTGCTCTATGTTAGCTTACCTAAACATTCAAGCAAGCACGATTCGGATACTGGATTCTGCTTTCGGAGGAGTGTATTTATTCACAGTGTAACACAATCATAAACAACCACAGCATCGTAACGACAAGATATCCAACCTTTCTTCTACAGTTCCTGACAACTAACAAGAGCCTCAGTTACATTAACAATCGGACATTGCGTTGTGTACTTTTTTTATAGACAAATGACTAAGGACTTACTTGTTCAGTTGGAACGGACACAGGACACTCAGAAGTCACTCCGCCTAGACTCTCTCGTAATCACTCACGACACACGACTGTGTCCTGCCTTTTAAGCTATCCTAATTATGCGTATAACCGACTCTG